TTTTTAAGATAAAATGGTGAACTAATATAGTATCAGAGCGGAAAGTATTGAGTTCAAACCCCCATAATTGTACTATTTATCTATCTCCTAATAACTTAAGCTTTTGGAATAGATTAGTAAATTAACAGACTGATCCTCTTGAAAAAGAAAATGATCATTTTAAGGGCTTTGGATATCATTTATATGATATCAAATGCTGTGACTGCCTTTATAGAATAAAAATGAAGCCGATGATATTACATTCCAGTTTCTCATGTAGATTTATTTGTGTCGCTTTTTTCAATGATGCTGGATATATCACATATGCCCCATCAATGCTTATTTGGATCCTTCAGAATTAGGGGGCGATCTAGAAAAATTAGTTGGGAGGCAAGGGCATGAGTGAACTTATGAGGTGGGGCAAATAAAGAGATGTAGAATTTTTGGATAGAAGGGGCAAAACACAAATTTTATAAAACTTTATGTACAAAAGTACATATATGTGTTATCCCACATGGAACGTGAATGAGGATGTAAAGTGATTTATATACATGGAATGACCTTAGACCCAATTGGTTAACCTTTTGGGTCAAGTTGGACTCTTGAAGTGTGTTGGGTAAATTTTACATATGGTGTCTCCTCAATAAGTGGAATCATAACCGATGGTTCGCATGAGTCAAGTGATCACACTTGGTTGCAATTCTCACGTTGCCTCCTATGGAGAGTTGTTGTTCCCGCAGTTGGTGCTGGTGCAAATGCGAATGGTGGAGCATTTGGTGGACTCGCATGGTTTCGGTTCTCTTTCCCATGCTTGAGTTGGCTCCCGTTTGGAGTGTGATGCTTGGGTATACCGGTTACTAAAAACTTTGGTCCGAGAGGGAGCTCAGTGAACACACACATGAGGGGGAGATTGTTGAGAAAAGTACATAGGTATGCTGTCCCACATAGAAAATGGATGATGATGTGAAGTGATTTATATATATGGAAGGACCTTAGACCCAATAAATTAATCTTTTAGATCAAGTTGAACTAGTTTTACATGTGGTGTCTCCTCAACACCCTAATCATCTATGGGCGGCTCAAATCATGTTTGGGTTCAAGTAATAGTTTCCAAAGAATGCTTCACAACTTAAACCAATTTCGCCACAAACAAAAGGAAAAGTCTAAATCAAGTTGTTTCTACAGTGCCACTTGGCTATAAATTATACTACAAATGGAGCATCTACAAGATCATGACTACACTTTCCCGCAAAGAACAAGCAGAAAAGAATAGCTTGTTGATAAAATATTAAAAGAAAAATTAAAAAAAAATTAAGTAAGAGATGGTAACATTCAATATCTAAGGCATTAAAGGGAATATAATACGAGTATCTTGAAGCGAAATTCTGTAGTTCAACTGTTAAACAAAGAAGGGGAAAAAAAAGTAACATAGCTTGCTTGTTCTCTATATAATTTCTGCCTCTTAAATCATGGCAAAAGTTCATTTTCACTGTAATTTTTTTTTTTTTTTTTTAAAAACGTTTACCCAAAAACACGAACATTTCAGGTGTATATATATATATCGGTTTATTCTATACCACCATACATATATCACCTCGGCCATGAGTTAGGACAAACAACATATCTCAGTAGAGTTTCCCTAGTTGCAAAAATTTGTCTCTAAACACAACAGGGTTATATATTTTTTAATAATTAAATTCCAAACCAAGACAATCAGATATTGTCATGCAAAACGATTTAATACAAATTAGAAACATTTTCTTATGCAGATATATTCTTGAATAAAATAAGCCTCTTGACTAAGAATAACATTTCTACCTGATCTATCAAGTGCAGAGAATCAACACCTTTGATGTCTTCTTCATTTGGACCAGATATGCATAAGTCATCTTCAGTCTCTTCATCACTACCGCTAGCATTCTTCTCTATACCTTCTCCGATGAACTGCAAATTTAAGTATTACATTGAAGAACACACGTGCTAATTCCTTTTTCTTTCTTACAATTATTTATAGAACACAATATCTGCCCATTCAGGTTATGAATAACTAAAACACGGATGTAAAAATATGTGACTGAAGTGCACTGCGGCCTCATAACCTCAAGAGAAGATAGAGAACCAAACACAAGGAAGTCGCATTGTTGTAATTCTGCTCAACCAGATCATCACTTGGGTGAAGACCTATTGGGCGCGCGTTTAGAACTCGTTCCAAAATGATTTTATTTTTTGTATGAAAATCAAAATGAAAACGTTTTCAATCTCAGACAGAAATCATTTTTAAAAATGCGTTTGGTAGTTTTATTAAGAGATTGTTTTCAGTGTAAAAAAAATCTATTAATGTCTTTCTTTTTCTCTCTCTCTCTGCTCGAGAGAGGAGAAAACGAAAAAAAAAAAAATGACTAAAAGTCGTTTTTCATTTCTTTCATTTTACACTAAACTAAAAAATCGTTTTCATTTTCGTTTTTTATATTTATTGCGCTAAATACCGTTTTGGAAACATTTTCATTTTTTTTCTCGAAAAACATGAAAAATAAAAACGGGATCAATTCTAAACACGGCCATTAACTCTAATAATGTATAAGAGATGCTATGAAAGAATATTATAGTAAAGATATTTCAAGTAGGCTAGTACTTCAGAAAACACCAGATGGTTTCATGTCTAACTTAATAAAAAAACCATCTATTTCATAATTAGTTCAAAGCCAGACCAGCCTATAGACTTTTCATCCAAAAAAAAAAAAAAGAAGAAGGGCAGCCATAGACCGAAACGCGCAAATTGGTGAGAATTTCTAAGCCCTCCTGATTAGCTTATTAACCACCAGGGTTGAGAATCAAAACAAATAAACTATTTAACTACAACCCAACCCCTCCAAAGGTTCATGTTATAGTTGCAGCAAGTTCCATGTCTAGAAAACCAGCATCTTTGACTATTGAAGAAAAGCAAATTCTGCCACTTTCATCTGTATCAGCCTCTTCGCCATCAGGATCAACCGAGTGTTCTTTAAAAGACAAATCAAACCTGAGAAGGAAAAAAATGGAGGGAGAGAAAGAGAAATAAGAATTTGCCAATACTAAATGACGAAGAAGGTTAAAAGAAGCGACTCTAGTTAGTATAAAAGATAGGAGGCCAAAAAAACAAAAAAGTTCCAATACTAAATGACTAACAGAAGTAATAAAGTTCATATACTAGAATACAAACAATCACTGACCGAAAAACTTAACACGCATTCAACATCACGGTCAAAGTACCTGAAAATGGAATGTACTAGAATGAAAAATAGAGTAATTAAACTTGAAAATACGGATAGCAAGTATGAGAACCGGATGAGAAAATAAAGATAAAAATGTGACCAATATAGATATGAACGAGTAAAATAAAATAAGTGAAACCGAGAAACAAGCAAGACTTTGGCAAATACGGGCCCCGTTCATTTCGCTGATTCGAGTTTAGAATTTAATTTTTTCTACAGTAAAAAGCTCTCACGAACAATCACATCTAACTTTTTTGTTACAGTAAAAAGCTCTCACATAAAGTCACATCTCAACTCGAATTAAAAACTCGAATCAACGAACTAAATGAAAAGAGCAAGTGCTGACATTGAGAAGAATCACGGTGCACGAGCTTATGTTTGAGTAAATCCCTCAAGACTTCATGTCAACCCTGTCACACCCGAAATTTTAGATTTTAAACGGGGAATTTGAAGCACATTTCAGGTTATTTTGAAATTTTTAATTTTATTATGTCTAACCCCACTTAAATAATAAATTTTCAAATTTGTGATTTGATAAACGAAGAAACCAAATAAATTAATGTATAAAACAATATGAAACAACAAGAAGGGTAGAATGAAAGCATACTTGAGAGCAGCTGGAACGTACTAAAATCAAACTGAAAGAAAGGAGTCCATGTGAATTAGGCGAGATTCATCAGTAACCAAAGGACAAGCAAATGGAAAACTAAAAATTTATCTATATATATAGGCTTTGTCTACGGTCATTCTCCTCAATGTAACATATGAAAGTGAAAACGTAAAATTTTAGTTATTTAACGTAACATGAACACTAGAAAGACGTAACACTAAGAATTTTGACTAACTTATACTATTATTATACTTTAATTTAGTTATTTATTATAATAAGGATGTTAAAAAGGTGTAATAATTAGAGATAATTAAATATCTTGATATCTCACATTATATAACGTTTTACATTTTTATACGTTATATTCGAGGGACAGTTTCTCCAAAAGACCGTAGAAAAACTATATAATATATATGTATAAATAGACATAACTAAATAAAAAAACTGCTGTTGAAGTTTTCATAAAGTACTGACCTTTTTCCTTGTCATTCCTTTTTGGTTCATTCCTCTCTCGACAGCTGCAAGAACCTTAAAAATCGTCTTTGGTTAAATGTACAAGATTGCTCACGTCAAGCTTCATTGTTCTTAACCTTTCACAACTGAAAAATATACAAATATACAAAAGCAGAGCACACAAACACAAATTCATAAATCATTCGCAATTTCCTCAAGTCTTGCAACTTTTTTAAGAGTGGATTCATTAAAAGGAATTATCAAAACACCAGTAAATATTAAAGAAACAGAAAATGATTAACACATTAACAGATATTATAATTATTAGGATTTTGGTTTGGTGAGCTAAAAAGCAGGCAAAAACAATTCAATAAGAAATATCTCGGGGCTTTTTGGCTTGTAAACTGGTTTGAATTTGAGGGCTTGAGAGGGTTGAGGGAGGCACAGAGGCGGAGATTATGACTAGAGAGGCCGTGGGAAATCCACTTTCTATTTATAGTTTTCGAAATTAGAGAAAACGACAATGTAATTATTCACGTGAACGACAATATGATGCTGTACGATGTTTTTTGTTTAAATTTTTGTTTAATAACTTAGAAGAGGAAGTTGGTGTAAAAACAAAAGAAGAGTAAGTTGGCGTCAAAATCATAAAAACCCAAAAATAGAGGCCACAAATGTAATTACCCAAATTGTAACCGCGCTAGTTCTAGGCAAAACAGAAACAGGGGTCAAAGCGAAAAAGTAAAGAAAGAACAATAACGGAGATCCAAAACCAGTGAGCTCTTGAGAAAGCTTGAAACTTGTGAATTTCCGGCCATGGCGGAAGATCTGGTGCTAGACACGCCCATCAGAGATTGGGTATTGATCCCTCTCTCCGTGGTCATGGTCCTCATCGGAGTCCTACGATACTTCGTCTCCAAGCTCATGCGCTCCTTCCAAGTCCCCGATCCCAAAATCGTCAAAGAAGGGTCTCTACAAACCCTAACCTCTACACACGTATATAGTTTCATGTATAATTCTGATCTTGTTCTGTGAATTTGATTTTTCTTTTTGGGCGAATTTCAGGCAAGTCGTCGTTAGGGCTAGAAATTTGCGTGCCGGCGCCAATTTCATACCTCCTAAATCGTTTCGTTCTCGTAGATTCTACTTCAGCAATGAGGTTCGTCTGTTTTCTGTTGTTTCTCGGTATCATCTATTGGTTTTTCCAGTATTATGATTCGCGATTTGTGGCTCTTGGTTTGATTGCTAATTCAATATCTAATTATTCTATGACTGTATGCATTTGATGAAGGAAAATTACGCTATCAACCATTGAAAGATTAGGTCTTTGTACTTTTTCTCTGGATTGAATTTGCTTGAGCTCAGACTTTTCCCGTTAACTTAAGAAGAAATAGGAAAAGTAATCAATTTTGATTAATAACTGTAATGCGGATATTAGTAATAGTTGTTTGCATTGGTTGTGAAAAAATTCTCCTTCAAATGGCGTGTTAACAGACAATATGCTGTCTGCTGATTAAAAATCACAAATTAGTAAATTTTGGCCCTGCTTATGTAAGCCTTTTCTTGGCAGTGAGAAGATTCTACTGTATTACTGTTTTGTATAAACTAAAACTCTGAAATTAGGTAGTTTCGCGTTTGCTTGGAAATTTTCAAGAGAAAGGATCTTGTATTATGTAATATGGATGTTTAATGTGAATGTAATTGACTGGAATATGTTTCGACATGGCAGGAGAATGGGTTGCTACATGTTCCAAAAGGTCAGTCACAGAATGCGCAAGCAGCGCAAATGTTTTCTGATCCTAACATGGCCACGGATATGATGAAGAAAAACCTTTCGATGATTATTCCCCAGGTATTGCATATTTCTTGGTTTATTTCACTCTGCTTGCAATATATGCTTAATAATATTAATACATTTTTATTCTTTCCCAGACTCTTACTTTTGCTTGGGTCAACTTTTTCTTCTCTGGATTTGTGGCAGGTTTGAACTATACCTTGAAAATGCGTTTTTTCATTGACTGATTAACTTCTTTATTTAGAGATATTTGAATCTCAATTTTAGATTGTCTAGAAATTCAACTTCATGCTTTCTATATTCTTTGACAATTCATTATAATCATTCACATGATGATAATAATTAATAGCAATTGCTGTCCTGTCATTAGAGATTTTTAATTTTTTCCCTTCTTTCCCCTCCCCTTTCCATGCTGGTCTTTCTTTATTTTATTTAATAATTTATTATCAACGGTATCTTACTTAAATCTTCCCTAGCATCATTTACTTGTTCCTTTTCACATTTTTGTTAAGTATTTAAATGCTTGTTATTGCTTTCTGTTTAGCTAAATGTTCTATTGCTTTCCACAGCCAAAATACCCTTTCCACTTACTCAGAGGTTCAGGTCGATGTTACAGAATGGGATTGATTTGAGCACTGTTAACGTCAGCTATGTCAGTAGTCGGTCATGGTAGTTAATCTTTATTATGCATAATTTTTTTTAGTATTCTTTTCTCCGACTTTTTCCTCCTTTGGAGTTTTATTCCATGTTGAGCTGTCCTAATCATTCAAAATCATTTCTACCAGGTACTTCCTCAATCTATTCGGTTTAAGAGGTTTATTTAGTCTCATTCTGGGAGAAGAAAATGGTTAGTGTACAAATTACAAAATCAGTGATAAGTTTCTTTGTCTTATATCTGCATGATGAATCTCTTTTTTCAGAAATCAGATACAACAATTAACTCTGAATTTTATGGACTAACATCCTACGCTGTCAATTTTCATTACAGCTGTGGATGACACACAACGTATGATGCAAATGGGTGGATTTGGCTTTGATCCAACAAAGGTACCAATATATGTGGTTTTCTATTGTACTCTTTAGGTTAAAGAATTATTGCTTTGCATCATTGCTCACTTCTTACAGATTCCTTTGAAGCATTCTCATATATTGTTTACTTAGGGGCTACTCTGTCAGTTTTCATGAACCAAAACAATTCTGATATACGTTCAAGTATCAAGGACGTCCTTTTTCTTGGATTGGCATTGTGATACTAATAGGTTTTTGCTAGGCTTTTGCTGCATTATATTTATGCTAGCGTTCAGGTTGTATTATAATATTAATGCCCTTGTCTAGTGAAGTGTGCTTGTGGGAATTTCTTTCAGTTGGATCGTGTACCTTGCAATTTCCATAAGATCCTCCGGCTCTAAGGGCACAGGATATTGATTTCAATTTACTTTTTTCTTAGTTTTATTTTCAATTTTTCATTACTCAGCATATACCTCATATTGGAACAACCTACTTCTCGTAGGATGTCTTTCTTTCTTTTGAATAAACTTGTGCTTTAGTAGGGTTATCTTGTTTATTTTGGACAAACTCGGGTGGTTGTTATGTTCATAGTGTGCTTTCTAGGAATAGGTTTGAAAATGGAAAGTGAATTTGAATGTTCATGTCCCTCTTTGTCCTGGAACACGATCATGATAAGAACCGAACTTGAATTGAGGAATTGAACAAAAAAGCAAAATTATATTGATGAAGTAATTGAAAGAGATTACAAGATAGATTGGCAGACGTTCGAGAGGTCTGCTAGCCCTCCCAAGGGTTTTCCCAATTTACTCTAATCCATCCCCCGCCTTTTGTCTCTTTCTATTCCTTATATACTACTACTAACTAGCTTAAAAAACATAACAAATCACTAACCATCTATTATATTGATTACTAATTACTAACATAATCCTATCAGATCATTTAAACCATTATGTGCAACCAGAGTACTACAGCTCCTCTGAGTGTTTGCCTTTTTTCTCTTTTCAGAATCTAAGTGCTGAGAAGGACAGCATTGACATAATTCAGCATGAATGGGCCTTACCAAAATTTGAACAGCGAGCTGAAGCAGTATTGAGAAAACTCGTCCACTAAACCATTGTTTTTTGGCTGCATGATGGGATTGGCCAGTGCTCGATTCAATCGCCTTTCCATCCCTTTGGATCTCTGCTGTCATCTAGGAAGTCAGCTGGACTCTAAAATGCTCCAATAACAATTATACTCTAGCATTTAGCACATAAAGTTTGTTCTAATGATCCAAAGAATTTCTATTGGTTGAATTTCTCAACTCTTTGAATAACTGATATCTTGGAAGTCATATAGATTTTTTGTGACAACCCTCATCTTTCAGACCGCAATGAGATATAACTTGATTGGAGTTTAGACTATTATTCTTATCCTGTTTCTTTCTTTTTTCTTTTCTCTTAAAGAACTACTGATTTAAATTTGATAGCATAGTTGTGTTCCCCACTGATATGAAAATCTACGCACCAGCATCAAATTTTGCGAGGAAGTCGTGGAAAAAAAAAAAAAAAAAAAAAAAACCTCCTGAAATTTCATGCATGTATTAGAAGCTTCACAGCTTCTGACCTTTGGGACTGATATTCGAAAGCAATGACTGTTTTTGTATGAAAATAATTAAGTGCCTCGTTGGCAGCCAAAAACAAACTAGACATGATTACCATGGAATGTGGTCGGGACTTTGGAAGATTCAATACGCTAATAACGGATTCAAGTTTTCAACTAAACTCCTCAATATTGGATCCTTGGAATGACAATATTCCTTGTCGTAGGCCCCACCTCATAACTCAAAAACAGCAGCTCTTTCTTACAAGCACAGATGGCTGCTCATTGTTCAATCTATTTGGTTCTGAATTTGAAGAGAAAAAAAAGCAACGTCTGGCTAAAGAAGGCAAAAGATCGGTAAAGAGATGTAAAGGCGTCTTCCCATCGGTCCCCATTCATAAATACAAAAGATAGTAAAAGCAACGAAAACATACTAATCGATCTTGTGTTTGGCTTTGACGATTATGTTTCCTATTATTTGAAATTTCTTTGTGAATTGTGTCGGCCATGATGTTGGAAGAGAATACCCACCTGATTTTTGAGAGTCACTTTTTATTTATTAGTGGGAAATTTCGGAACTTTAGTTATGGAAAGGTGTCGTGATATTCAAAATATTATTAAATTTTCTTGTTGGTGACCCGTCTCCAAAATTAGTCATTAAACTTCTAAATTCCAATGCTCTGTAATCATAAATAAGCTTTGTGGACTTTATACATTCTAACATGCTAAAAGTACGGTTAAGTTAAGGGTAAGCAGTGATCAATTCCACCAAGAATAAATCAAACTTCTTAACTTCGATATATATATATCTATGTGTGTGTATGTGGACAGTGGTGGAGCCACTTAAGATGAGCAGGGGCAGCCAGCCTCACTCAAATTTTAAAAAAAAAAATATTATCTTTAAAAATTTTAAAATTTTACACTTAAACTCACATTAAAATAATATATGTTTTCACTAAAATAAATATATTCTCTTATATGCTCAATTTGTTAAAAAAATTTAATATACGCTCCCATTAAAGTGAAAGACTGACTTCACCACTGTATGTGAAGAGAGATTCATATCACAATTAGCGTACTTTATGTATGTGCTATACATGCAAAATGACGTGATCCAAAATTAATATAGGTAGTGATCAGTGGTTGCATTATTATTTAATTAGAATTTGACAAGTTTATTCTACATGTTGTTGTGAAATTCTCAATATTCTCGAACAAGACTCCAGCGTTACATTGTGAAACTCTTTTTTTTTTTTTTTTTTTTTCACGTATGGTTATAACTGCGAAAACGACATGAGCTAAAAGCAATGTTGTTAACCTGAAGACTAATTCAGCCAACGTCACTAGCAGAGTCACAAAATTGGAAGGTTAACCATTGTCATAGTTCCCATGAATCCTGGGATAGGCTGCTCTCTACATCATTAATCTGACTTATCAAGATTCGTACCATAATTTAAATTTATAATATTTTTTTTATAAAAAATATATATAAATAAAAATTTTTTTTTTTTTTTTTTTCTCACGTATGGTTATAACTGCGAAAACGACATGAGCTAAAAGCAATGTTGTTAACCTGAAGACTAATTCAGCCAACGTCACTAGCAGAGTCACAAAATTGGAAGGTTAACCATTGTCATAGTTCCCATGAATCCTGGGATAGGCTGCTCTCTACATCATTAATCTGACTTATCAAGATTCGTACCATAATTTAAATTTATAATATTTTTTTTATAAAAAATATATATAAATTAAAAATAATTATGAATGTGTAAATCAAACGTGAATAATTAAGCTCGGTGGGTCCCAAAACTTTTGCAAATCAAGGGAATAGGCCAAACGACCCCCGCCAACCATTGATGTGTAGCCAAGTATACAACAAGCCACTATGAGTATGTTGAAAACCGTACACAGCCTTTACAAATGCCTTGCTTTTATTTAACCGAATCTTTAGTCAAAATGGCAATAATCCTTAATTACTAGGGTGGGACACTCTCCACCGCCCTCAAACTTTTCAGCTAACTTTGTTTTTTTTTTTTTTTTTCTTTTTTTCCGCTTTACAGAGTACATATATGTCTCTATACGGTAAAGATGTTAACCCTTTTACATAAAACACTCCTATTTATTTTAACACTCCTACACACAAAAAATAAGTTCTTGTTCACTTTATAAATTTAAATTTTTAATTTAAGTTGAAATGTAATATTTTTTAAGAGTTTTTAACTGTAATAAAAAAAATTAGATGTGACATTTTTCTGAGAGCTTTTAACTGTAAAAATTTAAAACTAAAAACTCGAATCGGTGAAATGAACAAGGCTTAAGTCTCCTTAAATTAATAGGTAAAATCTACTATTTTATGAGTAATAAGATTAATATAAATATCATTTTTATTTTACATATGCACATCCTAGTAGTGCCTACTCTCCACTTCTGTTGAGTTAAAAAATTCCTAGCTAGTTTCAATTACATCATGACTCGCACCAAATTCAGATTAACCTAACTAAGCATGCTAAAGGGTACCGTTTTGTCTCACTGATTTCTTCTCCAACCGGTTAAATCATAGCATATCTTACTATACATTTTCTTAGTACTTCCTATTTTACTGTACATTTGTCTTCTTAATTGTTAGTACACATATTAAGTAAGAATATGAAGACAGTGAGAACAATGGCGAATTATTATAACAATAATTTTTTTTTTTAAAATTAGGACATTGTTCATTTTACTGATTCGAGTTTTCAGTTTTAAGTTTCTACAGTAAAAAACTCTCAGAAAATGTAACATCTGATTTTTTCTGCTACAGTGAAAAAGTGAACAAGACCTAAGATAAAGTATTTGTATACTATTGCATGTTTTTTAATGCTAAAATTGATCAAAATTACATCAAAATAAAAAGATGTATAAAACTAACTTGCATAGATTTTGCGCTTATTCAAGATAGTAATACCAACAATGTTTTTTTTTTAACACCGGATATTTAAATTCTCACATTATAAAAAATAAAAGAGAAATCACATCAAATGATGAATGGATGACACACAACTCGAGGCATGATTGGGTTACGTCCAAAATCCTAGGTTAGTGAGGGAATAATATTGTTGAGATCTACGACAAAATTCGTACCAAATTGTAAACCCAACCTCCAAAATCGTCAATTATAAAAAAATAAAAAATAAAAAAAAAACCCCCAAAATCGCCCTTAGATCCACAATTAAAGCATGCCAAAATGACTCATTACACCTTTCATTTTGCCATCATTTTGGCATACGAGGTAAAGGGTGTTTTTGGCACGTCAAAAAGGTAAATTTGTTCTGAGGAATGATTTGAGCGATGAGTGTGCTCCAGCATGGCACATCCGACGGCGGCAAGTGGGATCAATGCCACGAGGATCCTACCTAGAAAGCATCAACAAGTGGGCCCATGGGGGGATTAAGGGCGGTTCCCAAAGTTAAGACGAAATGGGCTTAATCAAAGGGTGGGGAAAAAGTTGTCCACGGCAATATAAAAATGTACGTGGGAAGGAGACCAACTTGCGTTGTGGGGCTGAAATGGACGGTAATGATCCCAGTTAGTGATGTGGGTCCCCTTTCTAGAACCGGCCTAGAGCCGTTGCTGGCTTTTGTTAGGTTTATGTCCATGTTATCAACCCGAAATATATGATCCCGTTTAGTTCGCTGATTTGAGTTGAGATGTAATTTTATGTGAGAGTTTTTTACTGTAGTAAAAAAGTTAGATGTAATTGTTTGTGAAAGCTTTTTACCGTAGTATAACTCGAATTCTAAATTCGAATCAGCGAAATGAACGGGACCATAATCTTTTTTATTAAGAAAAATAGTCTAAAAGAAATAAATACAACCTTAAAACTTTGGGTAAAGTAGGCATTTTGACTACAATAGTCACACCGTTAAGAGTACCCTTCTTTTTCTTTGAAGTTTTTTTTTTCTCAGCAAAAGGACGTCACTAATAACTTTTGAACAATTAGTTTGTTCTTTTGGGGCATATGTAATTGTTTTATTTGTTCAAAACTCGTCTTTAGATTTTAGCTATTATATAAAATTTTTTAAGTTACTTTTATATTACCTCTTTTAATAGATGTTATTATCATATTTTATTATTGCTTCAAGTAAGAAAACGACAAAAAAAAATCAAGTAATTGCAGATTCCCTGCGTGCCTCATGGCCCATGCATTGCTTTTTTCAAAAATAATAGAAAATAGACTGAGGGTTCGTTTGGTTGGAGGATTTAAATTATGTGATTCGAACCATTTTTGATTTACGTGTATTTTTTGTGAGAGAAAATACTGTAGCGAACCACGAATCATGATTCGAATCAGGGAACAAATCCCTCTACCAAACGCACAGTAATTTGAAAAGTTTAAGAAAGTATATAGGTCAATTTTTAGTTATAAAAATTAATAGGTCATAATTTGTTAAGTTATGGTTCATAATCAGATAAATTATGGGTAAACTTGTCAAGTTATGGTTCATAGCCATATAAGTTATGGATAAAAATTGACAATAACTTGTCAAGTTATGGTTCATAACCAGACAAGTTATGGAACAAAACAGTAATTTGACCTATTTATTAACTTATGTAAACTATTAGCCTATTAATTTTAATTCATCTCAAGTCTTGACCTATTTTCCTCTTTCTCCCTACTTTTTTTTAGCATTTTTCCAAATAAATTCAAAAGTACAGCTCCATTCATAATGCAGGAAAATTAATACTGAAGGGTTATATATCATATATGATTTTTCATTTTTTATTTTTTAGGAAAAGAGAGCTGTAAATCCATTTTAACACGACGGAATTAGATAATTAACATGTAATTTGAAAATGAAATCCGCATTTTTAACTCCCAATGAATAGAAACTTTAGGAACATGAGCACATGATAGTAAGTCATCTACATGTTCCGCAGCTACAAAAAAACAATGGGAAACCAACTCAAAAGGAAAGAATGGATATGATGCTGGTAAGAGAAATGGCCTCCACCACATGGCACTTCTCATTCATTGTCTATAAAAGCTATATATAAATATTATAAAAATCTTATCTATGATTATAATTGCTCTAACTCTTAAAAAAAAATGAAAAAAAATTACAAAGGAAAAACATTTACAACTAGACAAACTAGTGTCCTTTAATTTTCTGTCAGTGACGTGAGGTGTCAAATGGCAAAAAAGATTCTTCAAGTGTTCATACCCCACTCCCCTTCAACAATTCTTTTTTATTTAGTTTTAGCACTTCACTCCTCTATATATAGCTCTCATTCGGATCATCTCTTCACCACACTAGCTAGCAATCAAGCATTCTTTGTTTTCCCAACAACCTTTATTATTCTTTTCTGTCCTTTTTTTTTTTTTTTACTTCAAATATGGCCACCGCTGAGGTATAACTCAAACACTCATTCATTTCTTTTTTTTCTTTTTTTTTTTTTTTTTTTGGCTGCATCAGGTAGAAGATATATAGGGTTGATCCAGACGTTCTCAATTTTTTTTTTTTTTTTTTTTTTTTTTTTTTTTTTTTTTTTTTTTTTGCCCAATTTTTTTTTTTTTTTTTTTTTTTCATATTTTGCATCTTGTTATCGAACTCCGAACGGAGAAATGAGTTTTTCAATACTGATGTACTTCATATGTGGGAGATGCGATCTGCTTGTTTATGACTAACACAGTAGCATCGATCCCGAGTTCACCCATATGGACATACTGGATTGATTTATGAACTTGTTTTTGCTTTCAAAGTGAGATCACTGTCATCAATTTGCATATCATGATGGTGTTGGTTGATCAATCCGTCTTTGACCTTTTGTCATGGCCTGTTTTCTCTGATGAATTAACTCCAACGTTCTTGATCAATCACTTAATATAGTGAATGAATAGTATTGTATCAACTGCTTTAAGACACGTTAATAGTAACCGATCGAAATGTATGCTTATAATCTAATCTGCGCTCCAAGAGACCTAAATTTCTCTCATTGGCAAACTTGGCCATACATTTTCTTTCCGAAAAGAGAGGGAAACAAATCATCTTTTTTTTTTTTTTTTTTTTTTTTTTTTTCTGTTCACTGCAGCTTTATAACTATGAATGATTCTGTGACCGTATATGATCATTACTCTTTAATTCTTATATCAAATTAGTTTCTCAAAACTTTTTTTTTCTATCTTCAAAACGATCTAGTCAATCAAAATCTGCTTCTTTTTGTCTAAGAAAAGTGTGTTAAAAAAAAAAAAAAAAAGCGCAGGTTTCACCAGCAGCAGCAGCAACACCAGTGCCAGAGAACGAGACTACTGAGACGATCAAGGTTGAGGAGACAAAACCAGAGGAGCCAGAGGCCGCCCCGGAAGCACCCGCCCCAACCAGTACAGAAGAAGACAAGGAAGTGCCTGCAGAGGCCGCGGAGCAACCCGCGGCTGCTGTAGCAGAAGCCCCGCCGGCTGAAGCAGCGGAGACCAAGGACGAGGAGGTGAAAGCGGAAGAGCCTGCGGTTGAGGAAGAACCAGTTGCAGCTGAGAAAATAGTCGAAGAGACTCGAGAAGTTAAAGAAGAAGAGGCTGCAGCCCCAGCTGAGGAGAGCAAAGAAGAGACCTCAGAAACAGCCGCAACTGAGGCGACTGCTGCAGAAGAAGAGAAAGAACCCGCAGCTCCTGTTGAAGCAGCAGAAGAGGCCTCCACAGATGTTCCAGTTGAGACAGATGTTCCAGTTGAGAAGATAGAGGAATAGATACGATCATGGTTTTATGATGAAACGGATTAGTTTGTTGGGGGGGGCTTATCGATCTTTTTTCTAGGTTGCATGTCAAAGTCTGTCACCTTTTCTTTTCTTCTTCTTTTCACCTTTTTCTTTTACTTCATTCACTAGTTTATATGGTTTTAGTTAAAGCAAAGCAAAGCATCGGATGAGGTTTGGAATTTGGATGCTGCAGTTATTATAAGCACTTTGGGTCCAAGTCAGCATACTCGCCATGCATGTGGAGAATATATATTTATATATGTATCTTTTTGAGTGGCGAAGAGGTGGAAAATTAGAAAACCCCTATTTTTAGATGGGGGATATTGCATGTATTACTATAAGATTTGAAGGTGTGTGGATCGGTGGGGGGTGGGTATGGCTCTTGGATTCAGAAGAGTTGGAAATGAGTTTGATATGGTGTGATGAGATGTGATTTTTGTTTGGTTTGAATAAATTTTTATTTCTTTATTGCCGTTATAGCTTCATAATATTTTGATGAGTGCCTTACTAAATAATGTTGTTGCTGGTTTCCACATAGAAACATATTATTTCTGTCATGAAGCAACTTCTTTTTAGCAGGGACTTATGAGTTGTGAGCAGTGGATTTCAATTTTATCAGTGGGGCGATGAGTAAATCGTCCCGGCGCATGCAAAGACGGTTCGGAGTTCCCTTTATATGAAAAATCTGTTGGATGGTAATGGAGATGGGAGGCATAAACCTGCTCAGCTCCAAAATTTGGGAGTGAAAAGATGATCTCTTGTAAAAAAAACAAGTACACAACTTTCTTGCTAGGAACTACAAGCAAAAGTTTGGGAAAATATGATCTTGACATTCACTCTCAAGCGCTTCAAGTCTTCAACCATCTCTTTGAGGAGGGAAATCTCTTGACCTTTCTCCCTCTCGTAATCTTTAGCACTAAACAAATCCCCTTATTAACAAATTGCACATAGAGACGAAACCTTAAGAGAGAAGCAATTAGAAATTGAGCTTTATAGGATCAAAGAAATTGACATGTTTCAAGATATTCCTTAGTTACCATTGAGATTACTCAAGTGAGAGGTGAACGAACGGTAGCAATATTCGAGAAAGACGGGCTAAGTTGAGAAATAAGAATTCTATCAGGAGTTTTCAATATGCTGAGAAGAGGAAAATATGCACATTATCAAGTCATGACTCCGACTACTTATCCCCAAAAAAAAAAAAAAAAAAAAAAAAAAAAAGGGGGAAGAGGAAGAAGTAGTGACGACTCCGACCAAGAAATATTCCTCTTCCCCCATTTGCTTCTAATATCAATAATAATCAAAAGTCCTTTCATATGTGCGTACATCTGGGCGAGCAAAAGATCAAGAGTAATATAGAGACAGTAACGGGTAAATCGTTCTATTGACTTGCATGTCATTGCACGATCTGTGTTTTACTTACAAGTCATGAAAACCAACAGCTAATTAAAGAAGGGGCATATCTACGAAAGCAGAGAAATTTTGTTTCTTTGTTCCTTCCCTGCTTTATTTATACTATACCTGTATAAACAGTAGACAAAAAAGAGCAATGACAATGCGGCCTTAAATAAAGAGCAACTTGCGGACTAGAGTGTCTTCTCACATACTCTACTGACAAGGACAAACAAGATACTATCTATAATCTGTACAAGCTGAGTTCCAATCTTTTTTATGTGCAGGAAAATAATCCAGATGCACCTATCGTCACCATGTGCCAAAGCTACTTCCAAAATGTTCTTGTGTTATGATGCGTAGGCGGTCTTGCAGCATGCGCATAGACGAATACGGCGGGAAGCACAACCGGTAAAAACATGTATGAGATGAAGGCAGGCGATCGTGAGGCTCCGAGGACCTGTAGATATAAAGCCGAGAAGCCAAACCACGGAAACCCTCAACTGGAAGATACTTCACGGAGGTCCAAAAGAAGAGAAGAATCTTTCTTTGCTCTGTGGACATTTCCTCAACAATCTGTGCAGATTTTTTTCCAGGATAGTTTAATGACAAAAATATTGGTATCAGAGTTTAGTTAAATTAATAAGAACAATCGCCATATTCGATATCATTCTCTTTTGCAAGGAACCAAACAATGTATTTATGTGTGCACTCGTGAGCATACGTGTTACTATTATACAAGAAACACAGAAATTTCGTTTGATAGGAAACCTACAAAGCAGATTTTTTTTTTTTTTTTTTTTGAAATCATTCAAGCGTCGTCAATTAAACTCAGATTGGAGCCTTCAATGTAAGGTATACTACAGATAATGTGTTTCAGCTCTTTTATCCATAACCATAATCCTGTTTCACAACTCTTTTTTCCTCAACCAAGTTCCAATTGGAGACCACTATATTTCCATGGTTCCTATTCGAGAGCGTCCACTGACAAGATGCTTTAAAAATCCTAAAAGAAAGTTTCTACACTATATCTCTATAATGACAAATATGTATGCTAAATCCTTGGGGAAAAAATGCCACTTAAATTGACAAAAACCAACACAAATCATAAAGAAACAAAACCAAAAACCCTCGAGAATAATTAGAACACCAAACAGTCACAAAATGGTGTTCACTTGTATACAGTTTTTTGTTAATACAATAAAGCTGGACAATATATAAATGAATAAGAAATAATTAACCGAGTCAAAATATTTCATTCCCATACTTTCCAATCAGCAATGGCCAATCCTCCAACAAACATTAAGCAAAGAATCACGACTCTATCATGCTGTTTTACAAGGATAAATATACTCGCACAAAAATACACCCTCACAACCATCTTTACAGGGAACGAGTGCTTTCCCTTTCAAAATTTCGCAAATAGAAAATGAAGGAGCTACATAGACACTGAATAAAGACGGGCATTAAGACTACACACTAAGGGTGCATTTGGTTGCAGTGGTGAAATGCTAATGGTAATAAGACCAGAATGGAATAGGAATTAAAAAAAAAAAAAGGATTCACGACTCTATCATGGTGTTTTACAAGGATGGATATACTCGCACAAAAGGACACCCTCATAACCATCTTTACAGAAAACGAGTGCTTTCCCTTTCAAAATTTTCCAATAGAAAATGAAGACGCTACATAGACACTGAATAAAGACAGGCAATAAGACTACACACGAAGGGGGCGTTTGGTTGCAGTGGTGAAATGGTAATGGTAATAAGAATGAAATAGAATAGGAATTCAAAAAAAAAAAAGAAAAAAAAAGAGATTCTTTTATTTGATTGGGAAGGGTTATAGAATTAGTACTTGAACGTGAATTATGAAATTTGGTTAATTAATGAAATTCAAAGTACTTTGACAAAAATACGCTCAACTTGAAAATGGTTATCTAATCAATTAAAAAACAATCTAATCTTTTTTTTTTTTATCACAAAGTTCGTTATTATTTAAAATCAATATTAAAAAATGTTATAGAGATACAAACTAAAAAAGTGTTAACTATTTCCTCAAAAAATAGTAATAATAATAATAATGAAACAAAGGATCAACAAAATGCATTCTTCTTCCCATGCCAAATGGGTGTTCTTCACCAAACTCATGTTCTTCTAATCTCAAATACTTTATCTAAATCATGGATATACACAAATGTCCTTTGTGGAAAATTCTCAATGATTTGTCTACACATCTAGAGGGAATAGCTTGCACTTGATGGAAGTTGGAACACCATTTGCAGGCCATGCCTTGGTTTTCACACTGATCTACATGCTTTTGCCCATAAGATCTACTCTCAACGTAGAGAACAAGCACTCTCAGCCGCGATATGGCTGCTGTCATCACCAAAGCAAGGCTGCCCTCCAAACATCAAAATGTCAAGACCGGTGACAGAGATGAGAATGTTGAGATCAGGGTCAATGGGGAAATGAGAGAGAGGATGAGGTTGACAGTGGAGGAGAGAAGAGATAAGGACTGATCATGAGTTCTTTGGAGCGCCAGCGTTGGTGGCGGCAATGGCCAACAATGATCAGCAAATGACGGAGACAATGGAGTCTAGGTTGGGTTCTTCTACCTTTGTTCTATTCTAATGTAAATAAAACATAAAGTGGCAATTAGGACAAAACAAATTTATACGTGGAATGGCCTGAATATTCCTGTCACCCTAGAAATGAGTGCCAATTCCACCGGTTTGGGTGAGTAACCTTTCCGTTGGAAAAGCTTTTCCAATCTCAACTTCTCCACCTAAATTAAACCCTTTTTGAGGGAATTATCATTCCTTTATACTTCCCATTCAATTACCCTCAACCATACATGCCGTAAGGTTCTCAACTGTTCCTACTCAAACCCAAAACCATTATGGACTTGCAAAAAGTAAGTCTCTTTTACCTTAAACCATCTACTATAAAGGTGGCGTGCACTATGCCCAAAGGTCTTATATATCTAGTAATGATCAGTTGTTTAATCTATGAGCAATACACAAAGAAACATCCAAAAGAGAAAAAAAAAAAAGTTAATTAATGTTAAAAACTCAAGCAGCATACATGCAGAACGCCTGCCATGTCAAAATACACTTTGATATGTACATGTTTAAAAATTAGAGAGCAAATTTCAAACTTATTATTCATTGACATAATAGAATGACGGAAAAGGATAACCATAAAGAACTAGAGAGGGAAGAAAATATTTAGTCTATTGCAGGTATACGGGGACTTAGAAAAGCGAAGGAAATTTTTGAAAAAACAAGGATCCTGAAGGGAGGCATACCTTCCAGAACCAGACTATCTGAGAGTCATTCTCTTTGTAGCCATTGTACTCAGTATGAGCTTTCCAATCTTCAACGCTAATAGCACTTTCACTTCCATGTAGCATCAAATCAAGATCTTGAAGCTCTAAACCCTGGAAAAAGGACGTCTGAAGACGAAACTTACAGAACATATTCAGACTTGAGTCACTAGGCTTACAGAGCATATCAGCAAAGCCTTGACCGAAACGTGACACCTGTGCAGAGATGGATTTGACAAACTGATGCTGAATAAGAAGTTTAACATACTCGTCCCTGTTTTTGCTGTTAACAACAATACTTTTCCCTCCAGGGCAGAGCTCCACAACTCTCCTTGCTCCTAACTCCTCAATTTCTCGAGCAAAAGTTAACCCTAAAGCATCTGAATCAATAAACTCAGCATCCATCTGTAGGATCTTTTTGCAGCTACTATACAAGCAAGGATCAGCATCGCATATGTCTTCTAGAGAGATCAAAGAATTTCCAGCCAATTGCTGGAAAAACATACGATCAAAGACTATGCCTACTTGCACTTTATGCATCAAAGCCAATGCAATCACCCGACCAGCAAACGCAAAATACTCAAGGTGCAAGGGATCAACCACAGAAGCTGTAGAAAGAAATGAGATGTAAACTGAGTACCATTGAAGAATTTGTTTATTTCACAGAATTTTGCAATGGATACATGTAATGTAACACACAATTTCAAATGATCTAATAACCTGCAAAAGCCCATAGATTATAAACTAATGAAAGAACCCATACTGAGTCATCATAATCTCCTTATTACTTTCAACTGACACCCAGCCATCATTAAAAGACAGAGGCTTCATCCCAATTTTCAGATTTTGGTATTCTCTTCCATACTAACTGTAATTATAAGAACAAAGTAAAACACAAAAATTCAGAAATAAGTCATCAAAAGCATTCCTATGAGAAGACATACCTATCACTAAACTATTCACACTCTCAATTTCTCCAAGGTAACTAAACATTCAATGCAGATAATGATTTCAACAAGAACTGTTAACCGCGAAACATTGGCATTTATAGTTTTTAGTTTCCAGTGTTCCTATTACAACATCGAAAACCAAGACCCAAATGACGCATGTAATATGATCCATAGGTCATGGGTGTTAAGTAAAATCTGTAACTGTTCCAAGAATCTATTTAACCCTTCCTCCTCACTACTCTCCCTCTCACGCGAATATGCACCTATGTGCACGTACACACAAACATTTGATGTTTAAGATCAATAATACATAACCAAACTACTTTCCCAGAGTAACCAAATTCTAGAACATGTTTTTGGATCCCATGCCACTCAAAATTCAAATCATTCTTGAGCCTTCACTCATGCCTTTCTACTCCAAGTCCAATATAAATTGGGTATAGAATGCAATCTATGATTTATTCTGTCATTATTCCTACAAGACAACATCTTTTCACACAAAAAAAGGCATAAAGAAAATGAAAAAGATCTAACTGATGTCTAAATAGATGTTCCATCAAAAGTCAGATGAAACTCACCAGGATTAGGATAGAACCTTCGACAATCATGTGGGCATGCCACAAAAAGCGCATTTTGTGGATTAAATATAGCTTGGCACACCAAAAAGAACCACTCCCGCAGTACACCTGGACCCGTGGCCTCCTCGTTTTTGAATTCCATAAACAGACCTCCATGTAATGATTCAGGATCAGCTCGTCCTATGTACTCAAAAGATTCTTCCAACAAATGAGACCTGTCGATGAGCATCTCGTGCAGTTCCTCATAGTCTTCTTTTACCTCAGCGAACATCATCATGGCCAAATGCCTCCTGGATTCAAAATCAAGCACATCCTTGTGGTTAACAATCCACTGATTATCATCAGTTCGCCTTGCATAATTAACAACTAGCGCACAAAATGAAGACCTTCTGAGCCGCAATACTGCCCAGAATCTTTCTTCAGCATCCTCATAGAGTTTAGAAATGCTATTTAGTTCCTTCAAAATGGCAAGATACTGAGACCATCGAGTATGGGCTATATCACCATCTCCCTTCCCTTTCCCAGCTAAATGGTCTTCCATCTTGAGAAGACACTGGTCCATTCTGCAAAGCAACTGACGAAATATGCGATGAAGAAACTCAATCTCCTCACCGTATAATGGATGCTTATAACCCCTTCCATCCAACAACACCGAAATTCGACCCCTAGACCCCACTTGCTGAGTGATCGCTTTATTCAAAGGGAGCAAGAAGGCAGAAAAATCGCGGACATCACTCAACAAAGGCCCCACACCAGTCGACTCCACACTCGAAACCAAATCCCTGGACAACCGCTCCGAAAGCTCACTAACAAATGGAAAAATCTCTTGTACCCCAATCAATTCCTTAACATTGTCAGGCAAAGCCGACCCATGACTCGAATTCGAAGAGGCAACACTTTCCAACAAGGAACCTAAAGCATTCCGGCAAGAGACATATAAAGGGTCCTCATACCCAACTCTTCTAAGCAACTTACAAAACTCCAACAAAATAGGTGCACATTGATTATATAGAGGTTTATGCAACGAATTACGAATCAAACCCAAAAAATGCTTAACTGCGCCTTCGCTGTGCTGTTTATTTTCCTTTATAGGCGACACGTAGAGCATGACCAGCGCCGCCGGAGCCGAGGAAGACATGAATATCTGGAGGTGGCTTGTGGCCGAGTCGTTCTCTTCCTTGGGCGTCATGGAAAAGTACTCGCTCATGCAGCTCTTGATGTCTTTCGGCTCGTTAGAGTAAGGTTCGCCTTTGCAGAGCCGGCAAATAATCGAAATCATGTCGTCAATAACCTGCCAAGCGTGTGGGTGCTCTGTGCTACGCATACGGCCCACGAGCTGTAAACTGGCGTCGTTTTGAATCGAACATTCCGCGAGCGATTGCTCCCACTGGAGCTGCTTTCCCCTGTAAATGAGCCTCTGCTCGAACAGAGGAATTCCGGTGATCGCCTGTATCCGTTCATGGATCGATTTCACGGTATCGTTAGCGTCGGCTTGGATTACCAGATTATAACCCTCAGAAAGCATCCTGACGAAGAACTGTAACGACGAGGGGGACCGAGTGGACTTGGGACGACTGGAGCTGGTCCCATAAGAGGCCGATTGAGCGTCGAAAACCCTAGAATCGAGGTGCTGGGAGGTGCCGGCCGAGAAGGGGCACGGCGAGCCGTCCGATGAGGAATTGACCGCGTTGAGCTCGTCCTTCCTCATTCTGACGGAGACTAGGTCAGAGAAAATAGCGTTGTCTCCTTCTTCCTGATCGTCGTCGTCGTAATCGTCGAAGTTAGGGCCACCATAGTCGTCCAACTTCCGCTTCGACGACAGACGGTGGTATTGGTGATCGGCGGCGCCGCTGCGCTGGTGGACGCAATCGACGGCGGTTGCTGCGCTCTCGACAAGAGACATTTACGATTGGGGCCCACCCAGCCGCCAAGATTCGCAAGAATCAAGCGCTCATGGGGAAATCGCCGCTATAACCAACTACAGAAACCTTCAATTAAATCAAAACAAACAGGACCATAAAACGAAAACGATGAAAGGAAGCTGCCTGGAAAGAAAGAAAGTGTGAGAAAATGATAGAAATTTACAGGCAATTGAAAAGAGAATGATCGGAATTGTCGCCTTGGCTCCGCGGCCGTATTTCTCCAAACACTCTCTTCTTTGTCAAGTTATTGCGTACTATAAAATATTACAAATCTATACAAACCCAAAAAAATAAATAAATTGGTAAATACTACCCTACCGGAATAGCTACTGTTATGGGGGCTTTGTGACCTTCAGATGAAACAATCCAACGGTGATAGAAGGGCTTCCAAGGGCCCAAGTATTTTGGATTTCCCTAAATCTGAATTTTGTGAACTTACCAAAATTGCTTCCATGGTGCTGAGATTAGATGCGGAGACGCTCATTAAAAACTTGCGTTATTTTTTTGGCTAGAAAAACTTATGTGGTTTAATTCTGAACATCAACGCTTCTGATTACGCGCTTTCAATCTTTTTTTTTTTTTTAATCTGAATCGTATAATCGTTCTAAGTGAATAAAACATGTGATTTCATTTCAGTCGTTGGATTTTAACATGTGACGCGAAAAATTAATTAGATAAAGCTGAAATTTATAAACTTCATAAAATAAGGGTGAAATCTTTATTAAAATAAATTTGTTTTAACTCCTTAAAAAAATTGTTGCATTTTTAGTTTTTAGTTTTTTTTTTCTTTATATGTACGCTAAGTTAAAAATCCCATGAAAAAAAAAAGAAAAAAAGGTTAAAAAAAATCTTACTTTACTCCACGTAAAAGAAAAATAAAGGTAAAAAAGTTGTACACTCATTTCTTTTCTCTTTTTGACAGGTAAAAGATGTATCATCTATGGTTTTGTTACATAAAGTTTGTCAAAATTACTAATCCTTCGTTGATATAATATATAACTATAGTCTATAAACGGATATGTCTCTGGAAAACGGCCATATAATAACCAGCCAAGCAAATAACAGGCTCTATATTTAATCTACAGCGCTTGGTGTGACTTTCTTTATATATATATATATATA